GAATATGAGGTGACAGGACTATAAAAGTCAAATATCGACAGTAATATGATTATGCATGGTGATCAAGTAAATAATACTGTATCACTAACTATGTTATATACATCAAATAAACAAATCTTATATGGAATTACATTCCATCATAGTTCCCAAGTTTTACACCTATATTAATATCAACTGTCATTAAAATAAACAATTCAGAAGTTGAGGAAATATCACTGAGACTGAAAATTGACAGATATCGATAAAACAAGGTCTACTTGATGAACCTATTTGAATAACTTTAAGATTTTCTCGAAGTTTCGTAATGTTAACATCAGCTGCTTATTAAATACAAAAGCCAATTAATCAATGACTTTTATATCAACAGAAAAGTGGAAAATGTGAATCTTATTTTACTTATGATCTAATCAGCAACACCGATACACAGCTCACCTCAAGATATTTCGATAGACTCCTCAGACGTTTCTGTATGACCTATATTACGGAAATAATTGTAGCATGTTCAGTGGAACCCATTACTGTCAATTATGTCATAATTTGTGAATAAAATCTGTTTCTGAATCGGCTTGCATGAACTTTGAGCTACTAAAATTACCCATGGAACATTTTCATCAAATTCTTTCCTTTCAATTTGTTTTAATCATTTAAATGTGTCATGTATCATATACCCTTACACATTTTTAAACTGTTTTCAAATCTCCGTTTCTTAAGTCAGTAACATAGCAGTGAAAACCTTTACGTTATTTGAAAGTGAACTTTTCAGTATAAAAAGTACATCATATGTCTATCCATCAGATACTTAGCTTGAGTTGCAGATTTGTGCGGTGTTTTAATGAACCACCTACACTATCAAACTTACGCTTATGTGTAAGGAGATGGTCCCAATATACATCTCAAAGTATACTGATAGTATTCGTCTACCCAATTCACCGGAAAACGTCAACGAAAGGGAATGAAAGTAAACTATGTATCATATACATTTATTGTTATAAAATAAATATTTTTATACATTTAAGTACTGTACATGGGTTTCGGTAAAAAGAATCGTGTTTTAAAACTTCGGATGCATTTTTTAACGTTTGACAATTTCGGGGAAAAAGTTTAAAACTCTCGGTGAATATCATATGTAGCCCTGTCTACGCCCGAATTAAAGTTTTCATGTTTCTACTCAAAACTTACAAAGTGCGCCTGAAGTATGTACTGGCTGGGTTGGATTTCTGTTAATTCTTTATTATGAACTGGATACTCACTCACAACCAGCTGGCTATTTTACATTATTACCGTGAATACTGTTATTATTACCATCACTCAGATGCAATCACCATTTCATCTGAAAGTATTGTTCTGCGAGTGAATCTGTTGAAAAATTACATGATGAGAACTCCATACTGTCATACATATTGTTTGGAATAAAGTGATTATTATTATTATCATTATTATTATTGATAATTGATTTATAGTGTGAGTGACTTGAGTATATGAGACTGGGCAAGTATATTTGAGACCAATCACGTGCAAGATCAGTGTTTAAACTGAATCTCCAGTGTCACGGGAAAGACAATCACAACCAGACAAAGATATAACGAATTGGCTACAAGGTTATCCCAAGAATATAACAGTGACCACATGAATAGACATCAGTTTGAAATTTCAGGTCGTTGGTGTGCAGCCAACTATATAGAATGCGGAGGCAACTTATAGGAAGTACAAAACACACTCTGCTATCCTGGGGCTAAACTTTTGTACTGGAGAATTTCAGCGGAGTGAAAAAGCGGTGTGAAACCAAAGTTCAAAGTTATCTGAAATGCTGACTAATTAATTAGGACTGGATAAGACATTAAAAGACCCCTTTTTTCTGGTCAATTATGGAACTTCACAAAGATCTGACAAAGCTAGTTGACTACATTCATGTTTACTTGAAAAACTTGGGGGATTTGACAGATTCAAAGGAATATAAGTGGAACGCTCATAACTTGCCACGTGTTGCATCAGAACTACAACACCCTTCACCAAAGTGTTCGGTAGGAGTACAAGTGTTAAGATTAGAAACGTAGGAAACGTTGCTAACACACAGTGTCACACGAACGTTCTGTTGATTACTCCCGAAGAATATGGGATAGTTCTTAAAAGTACACATAGTTTTAGGGACAGTACTGTAAAACCATATCTCGACTAGCCATCTGATGAAAGGACAAGGAGGAAGAAAGCTGCGGCCGAAATGACAGTCCGGCAGGGAAAGAATGAAAGAAACCTAAAAAGATTAGCTTTTTGGGCGCTGAGTTCTCGGTAGCCAGTGTTGTCGAGGCGGCTGTTCATAAGTCGGATGGATGGTAAGTTAGCATAAAGATAAGTTATGCTAACTCCTGAACTGTAAGGAATATAATATTTGAATCGGGAAGTTTAGTCAAAGACCTGAAACCTGAGGAGGTAGAAATAACGGAAACGTGGTTACTAAAAGCCATATGTCTCACACCACTTGTACCAGGATTACCCGCCTAAAGGCGGAAGAAACATGTCATAAGGACCATGTTATGTCACAATATATTCTGGAAGGTGTCGAATTACGTTCAACGGAGTCAGAAGCGCACACTAGCTCCATATGTGAAATACCACGTTACGATATTAATTCGAGGCAAGGAACCGTTACTATCGGAGTTATATATCTTAGTCTTGGTTGTCAAGCGGATGACAGTGGTATGCTGCCTCTATAAGTGCTCACTAACAATAGGTGGCTAACAGCAGCAGACCAGAATACTTCTCATGTTAGTCGAAAGAAGCTCACAGCCACATGTCCTTAGAGCTGTTTTGATAGCGAGCTGCCCTGACTGTCTCTGAATTAGGCCTGGTACAAAATGTAGTTGTACGCACTTGCTTTGATTCACAGCATGAGGCTTCACGCTTAGATCTAGTTAAAAGTCACCAGTACGAAAATGTGAGTGACCTCCAGTACCTCCTACGGTTGGTGAATAGCTACTATGTAGTTATTGCTTTCAAGTTCAGAACTTACTATCCCATTTATTAATCGATCGCCTGCAGAGCAAAAATCTGACGTGTAGGTTTGGTAGTGATCATGGACACGGCAATCTCAGTAAACTGGTCTGTCAATACAGACTGGACTGTTGAAAAGGCTCGGAAGAAACTTAGGGCAAGCTTTGAAAGTGTCTTATCTCCTTTCATACCCTGGTCCATACTAAGGAGGCCTTCTCACACATCTCCTTGGATAGATAATGAGATTCGACGGTTGTCAAAAAAACGCTACTGGGATCTATTTAAAGAAATAGGTTGCATTTCGTTTATGCTAGAGCATCACAAAGTACGAAATTCTTGTAAGATTCACAACATGAAACGCCGCATTAAATATGAGAGGCAAACGGTGTATGACTGCGTTAAACTGCAAATTACTGGGCCATGTGGAAACACATGGCTTACTAGCACAAAACGAATGAGGTTTCGAACTCGGACGTTCCTGTCTAGCGAACTTGCTTTTGACCAGAGAAGAATAAGTGGGAGTAAAATATTGTAAACCGGCCATCGGTATAGTGCTAACTGATTTTAACAAGTTATTTGATATGAGTTTCCATTTGACGTTACTAAGGAATCTGGTAGGTTTCGGTATGGACATCAACACACAAGAGTTGTTTACTCAATACCTGCATGGCAGAAGGCAGGGGATTAGAGTGAATATAGTATTATCTGACTAGATACAGGTTACTGGCAGGATTCGTCAGGGCACTACTATGGTCTCTTTTGTTCCTACTCTATTGTAATGAATTGCTACATATGCTTAGGTCATTACATCAACCTTAATATTTGCAGATGATTTTAATGTTTCTGAGGGTTGTTCATGATGATGGTGATGATGATAGGATGGCATTCGAGACTGCCTTAGATTAATCGACTTAATGGTATACACGCTGAAACCTTGAAATCAGCCCCAAGGAAAGTCAACACTAGTACTGCCCTAATTCATCAGATGGGTTGGTATTGCATTGCATTAGGCAACAAAAGGATCTAAGGGTTGCTAACGGTTGCAAATTGAAAACAACGGCACAGTATTATATAGCTGCAGCCAAGGCATTTTGTATGCTATGGTCAGGCCATACAGCTTTCACGTGTTTTGCTAAAGAAATGTCGTCCAGAAGACTGCACACAGGCAGATAGTTTCTACTTCAACCGACGACTAGACACTTTGGAAAGAGTACAAAGTGTGAGTACTAGGTTAGTGACAGGACTTACACATCTCCTCTATGAAAAGCAGTAGAAAGTCTGAACCTTACTCAATTATGATTTTGAAGAAAAAGCGAGATCTTATGTTAGCGTATAAGATCGTGAAGAATGACTTCTGCTTTGGCCCCTCTGATTGTTTTACTTCTTCTAAAACAGATTATCTAAAAGGCAACATAAAGGTATTCAAAAGCCCCGGCCGAATAAACTAAGAGTGAAAATCAGATTCTCTCACAGGGCAACCAACAACTAGGACCTATTATCAAAACTTTCAGTGGCCGCTTTTTGAGTGAGCGCTTTCAGTGAGAAACCGCGGACCTTGGAAGAGATTCAAACTCCCAGAACTACTGCAGACTACTTGGCCTACTATCCATAAACCCGGAAACGAACTGAACGCAATTGTAGTTGTATTTCTCACTGTTGCAACACAATAAGCTTATCACTACGACAGCCTTCCCAGTTTATGGTTGCTACAATATCATATTTCTTTAAATTTATTCTTTCTGTGTCTTCTTATTATTATCCAAGGTAAAATGCATGCGGGACAGATTTAAAAGATATGGAGAGATGGTGTATGTTGCAGGAATAATATCTTTTTATCCTCCTCAAAGGTATACTAACTTACATTGAGACTTTTACATTATCTACTAAAATACCTGACAATAGTTCAACTGTTAGAACTAGTATTTTTCACAAGCGGTTAGAAACTTTAAACACGCTATTAGAAGCATGGACTCAAGTTACTGCAGAATTCTCTAACACAAAATATTACTCACAGGCCGCTGAGGTAAGCATCCAAGAACGCTTTTAACTAGACTTGGAGCATCAATTATCAAAGGATAGCCAAGTTCTTTGAATGGTTGATCTATTGGAGCGAATAGTCCTTCACATTTCTTTTGGTAGCATCTTCGTTGATAATTAGAGTTACGAACCTTAAGGTAATGTAGGATTTTACCGATAACTTACTTCGCTTCTACAGGGTGGAGTAAATGAACAAAGATAACTGTTTCTTGCTTGAACTAAGCAATCCATTTGTAAAAGTGCATAACTCGGTTAGAATCGTTGCTTGCAACTAAAGTATTCAAACAAATGTTATTCATACTTTCTTCTTAAAAACTAAATCATGTAACTTCAATCCACTTTAATACCTATTTTGTTGTTAGTCTTGAATTTCAGTACTCGAATGAGTTTATTTTTACACTCCACATATTTTCTCATCGTTGCTATGATTATCGCATCGAACGCAACTTCCACCTTTCGTTTCCAAACATTCCTTCCAAAAATATCAGCTAGTGTCACTGCTCGTGGGAAGTTCATAGCTGATCAAGTGGCTGACCGCTTGCGAACAGTACGGTTTTAGCTTCAGGTGATTAGACGCATATTCCCCCAAAAACCTATTACTGCTAGACAGACAGAAGCCTAAGATATTACACATCTTTTTGGGTCGTGATTTATGTCTTACTGGCCGCATCAAAAGACAGTCTGGAGAGTTAGAGTGAAATGAACACAGAAGTACATTCTGACTACAAAAGGTTACCAGGTCCTGAAAATTCGAAGTCAGTTGATCACCAAACTGCGTGGCATAATAGAAAATATATTGTGACGGAGTGGGAAGTTTAAAAAAACTAGTGGAGCCTTTTTATTGAGATAACTGAATCTGATAGCTCAATGCTTAGAGCCATCCGAAATACAACACAAACTTATGATTACTGACAATGAGCTGCATCCATAAATCTTTGCTCGAGACAACAAATACGTTGGTTCACGAAGAACTTTTTCATCTTTCTGAAAAGCAATTTGTGTTTAGGAGCTCAAATGGTTCAAATGGTTCAGATAGTTGTTGACGGAATAGGAGAAGCTTTCGCTTAACTGGCTTCCGCAACTACAATCCATGGATCACTACTCCTTTTGGTCGTTAACCTGTTGTACAAGTAATGAAAGGTGAAAAGTGGCGATTAAAATGTGAAAATTAACTTAGTTCTGGACAGATCCTAGACACACATCAAGTGGGTATCCAGTCGGTGTTCAAGAGATTCAGACAAAGTGGCCTGGATCACACCTCAAGAAGAGCGTTCCAGGGTTTAACAACTCTTAGGGAATATAAGTTGTGCCTGACATCCAGCCTGCTAAGTTCCAGGCCTAGTTTCTGTGCATGTCCTCTAAGATTAGCGTTGCAGGCAAGATTTAGTAAGTATCGGAGGGATAGCTAAGCATGCTCAGAATTTTGTAAGTCATTATCAGTCTCCTCTTAGCCTTCTGTATACCAGAAGATACAGATCCAGCGCAACCAACCGTTCATCGTATGTTTTGGACCTGAGTCCTTAAACAGATTTTGCCGAACGCCCCTGAATGCGTTCTAAGCTCGGTTTATCCTTCTGGAGATAAGGAGGAAGATGATGGTCCCGAACTCCAGGCCTTATGAAGCTGTTGAAAATTTGGTGGAGGCATCTAGGATCGAATCGCCCGAGAATTCGTCTGAGTTACTAACGCCAAGTTCCCGCGAAGTGCGTTTCTGTCACAGTTGGCATAGGATTTTAAGTCCTGGGGGACCAATACGCCCAAATCCTTCTCTGTCAGTGACGCTTCAAGTTCCATGCCGTTGAGGCTATATACACGAGATGCATCATGTTTTACGTGTATTACCTTGCATTTCTCAGGATCGAATTCAAGCCATCGTTGACTGCCCAACAGTGAATATTGTCAGGCATGAATGTGCATCATGGGAATAGCTACCCTGCCAGTTAAAGTGTAAAGAATAAACTACTGGCCTGGTTCAAAGGTGCCATGAAGCTGAATGTGAAACAGATAATTATCTTCTAAACAATCTAAACTTTTAAACGTATGGTCGCATAGTCTTCCCGTAGGAGTCATTAGCTTTAAGTCAGCTTACCGGTCTAGCCCACCGAAAAGTTGTGACTATTTCTTTTAGATATATAATTGAAAACTTCAATCTTTAGCCCTATGACAATATTCTGAGATTGCGAGTCCAAGAGAACACCATCAGCCCTCTTCAACTTAAGGCCTGTCCTTTTACGGGGATAACCTGGGTATTATCTGGCACCCTTCACTCTCCAGCTGAAGTCATAGTGTCGGCATCATCATTTTGGATCTGCTGTGCTGTTTATAGGTGGTACCTCATGTCAGCATAATTTCTAGGAGGCTAGCACAACAGCCACGAACTTGGCGTCTTTGATTGACCAAACCATCCATCTAAAACCGTGCACGAAGATACATGCTACTACATCAAGCAGCCGTTCAATCAAAAAATCCAGCTGTTTATTCTGTGGACCGGAGAGAAGGAACAAAAAGACTGTAGTCTGTGGATAAATTGTCAAACGCACAATTTGCAGCTTCAGAAAAAGTATTTGCTTTTGTCCTTAACCTTGGTGTTCACGAAATGGAAAAAGAAATAAGATGCGAATAGAAATGAGTGTACCACCTAGATCAGTTGGTTCCAAGTACACTTAAACACACAGCTCATTTGGGTGTAGGTAGCGCAAACTTGTGTTCTGCCCTTCCACATAAACTGCACCGGTAAAACCAAAAATGACGCCCTCACTTTGATCACTGGAATGGGAAAATCTCAACAGCCACAGCAATCAGAGTAGGCAGAGGCGGGGAGAAAATTTCGCCCGGGCAGTTTCACCTGAGCCATCTTTAAACCCAACTTAGACAGCCGAAGCACTACAGTCGAACGAATTAGATGCTTCGAAAATCAGCTGCGATGAGGTATTCATCACTTGCAGTACTCTAGATAGTCGGAATCAACAAAACTAGATGAGCTGAACCGAAGACTGTTTAGACAGCCTGTAAAGTGATAATATAACGTTTAATCCTCGGCTTATAGGCACACATAATTTTCACAGATAAGGCGATCACATTTGGTTGTGAAAATCTTTGGTGATACTGTTCAATGTCTCTTATTCATCCTAGGTGGTGGCAATCCCGGGCTGAAGGAAGGAAGATTTCACATCACATACAAACAATCCACGCCAGGTTGGACGCAGAACTTTTGTGTTCATTCATAGGCACAACATTTCCGGCAGAAATGCAAGTAGAGATGGTTTTTGATGAGTACTTGAAAGCGTCATTCAAAGAAGGAGGCTCAGTAATTCAAGAAATTGATTCGAAGAAGTGGTGCTGGCTAAATTCCTCAAGAGTTCATTTGAACGATCAAAAATATAGGCGGACTTACCATAGCAGACTCCCTATACTACTAAGGCGGTTTAAATTTCAAAGTTCACTGAGATGTTAGGAAGGACAATGTTGTAGCTTCCACTTCAAAAGTTCTACCTTTGTCTGTTCACGCTAAATTGATCACGTGTTCGCCACAGCCACGATAGTTTCGCGTCGCGCTCGATTGACAGGCATTCAGTCGTCAAGTTCCGTTCACCTTCAACGTTGACTGGTGTATGTGGAGTTCCATTTAATACTAATAATAATAATATACATATATTTCACACAGAGTATGTCACAAGAATACAAACAACATCACAGGTATGATCATTTTGGCAGTGAGAAATGACTGTGATGTACAGTGTTAAGCTATACATTAGATACCGTTATTCATGGCACACAAGAGGTTCGTCTAGAGAACGGACGTTAGTGCCTCACAGATTAGTTGTTCAGTATACTGAAGCAAGCTCAGTTCGAAATTAAGAATTATTCGGTTTCCCTTTGAATCTTCCCATATTCTTGAAGGTGGGGCAGGTGGTACAGTAATGACCTTAGGGTGTGTGTGTTCGTCATAAAGTTTTGATGGCATGGTGCACACTGACAACTGTGATTGCTGGATTCCATATGGATGAAGGGCTGGTTAAGCAAACCTGAAGAATGAATAATAAAGCGAAATTCGAAGCAGGAGCACAAAAATACTACGCGGGAGTAGATCAACCATGGTACATCTGGGTGAGTTCTTTGTACTGACCACAAAAGTTAATTGAAGAAGTATCAAAAACCAACTGTTTAGATGTAATCTTACGTGGAATAAGATGAAGGTGCGCACGAAAGTAGCGGAAACTAAGCTGAAGCCGAAGATATCACTATGGAATAGAGAGCATAAAAGATTTTGGACCAGGTATTCCTTTATTTATGGAAAACCTATGTACAAAAGTTTAATGAAGTTATAAACATCTAAATAAAATTTATGTTTTTTGCTAAGATGGCGATTACTCTTTATAGGGTCATTTTAATTGGGTTTTATCTTAGCCTATGAGTTTAGTTTTCGGTATTGTATACTTTTGTTGTCGCTGTTGGTCTCCCTCGAGTCTGGGTACCAGTAACGCCACTGTATGTGGCATTACCGTTTGTGATTTGGCCGTCAACGGATTGGTGAGGATCGTTGGGTGGGAGAAATTCACTAAGTAATCGTTGAAGCCGGCTGAGAGATCGACATGCCCATATAGGAGTGGGAAGTTTGTTCCACAGCATATCGTAGTGCGTTATGGAAAACCTAAATCGAAGTTTTGAGCGATACTTATTTTTTGAGATGGTGTGTTCGCTATTACGCAGACCATACGCCGGTGTTGATTTAAAAGTGATAGCACAGTTCGTTTTGGACTTCCCAGATAAAGAAGAAAAAGAAAGGTTAGTTGAGCTGCAGGCGTCTCAACCAGGGTGATTCTAGTTCTAGTTTTCGCACCTTGCTTAGTAAGGAAGTCCCTCGCTTTGTGTTAGTAGGCGCGAGCAAAGTTTCTTTGGATGTCCTCTATTCGAATGCTGTCGGATACTTTCATGTTACCATAGACAACAGTACAATATTCCAATATGGGTGAACCAAAACTTTGTATAGTGCAAGTTTTGCCTCAGGTGTGAGTATGTTTCCGTGTAGAAGTCCTATGAGTTTCTGCCTTTGGAAACTATTGAATCTGCATACTATGTAAAAGTCAGACACCTGGAGTAAGTGATTCCGAGGTCTTTCACAGTGCTGTATACCTGCAGTTTGATATCAACCAAGTGTAGTGTTACATATTGGTGGGGTTAACTGAAATAGAGGATGCCACCTTTGTTTGGGTTTAGAGGGGCTGCAATTT